GAGCACAAGTCTTATGAGGGGCAGCTGAGGGCACTGGGGTTGTTCAGCCTGGAGAAAAGGAGGCTGAGGGGAGACCTTATTGCTCTCTACAACTACCTGAAAGGAGGTTGTAGGGAGGTGGGGGCTGGTTTCTTCTCTCAAGTAACAAGTGATAGGACAAGAGGAAACAGCCTCAAGTTGTTCCAGAGGAGATTTAGATTGGATATTAGGAAAAATTGCTTCACTGAAAGGGTCATCAAGCATTGGAACAGGCTGCCTAGGGAAGTCACTATCCCTGGCAGTAAAAAGATGTGTAGATGTGGTGCTTAGGGACACGGTTTCATGGTGGACTTGGCAGTGCTAGGTGAACATTTGGATTTGATGATCTTTAAGGTCTCTTCCCACCTAAACGATTCTATGATTCTAAGATACGTACACCATGAGAATTAATTTCTTCACCAGTTTCAGCAATTGCTCTTTTTCGCATGGTGCTGATGTCATCTTCTCTGTCCATTTAAAATCACCAAGCAGATTTTCCAGGCCAGGAAAAGTTTCCAGAGATGTGCCATTTATCAATGACTATACAAATGTCTTGCCTGATGCTCAGTGGTTTGTTCATCTACAACATGAGAAGCGTGACAAAGTGTGCAGCTATCTCCTTTACCGTGTCCGCAAATCCAAGAGCCGGACAGAAGACAAATTTCAAAGCAAAGTTAGTCAAAATCTGCACCACCTCCAGGCACGTTCAGGTACCAAGGTTTCTGCTGCTTCAACCACCTTCATTCCCATTCTTGCCTTCTCTGATCCTCTGCAATTTTTCCTCTATAAAGGTCATTAGTCAACACACAAAAGTTAAGCTGGTCCTACCATCATGTAAATGCTCATGTGGTACCTAGCACGAATTTACCAATGTTGGAAATGAGTACGTTTAAAGCACCTTGTGTTCAAAAACAGACACCAAAGTGTGGGCTGTTTGATGGAGCCAGCCACTGCTGAAAGGCAATAAACACCAGAATGCAGAAAACACAATTTCCATGCAGATCTTTTCATTCAGGTGCCCTGGGCAGCCGTCAGTACAACCCTCTGGCTTTGAGCACTGTTCAGCTTCAGCTACACAACAATTTTAGGACAAACTTCAAACAAAAAGGCCACCCAGAAGCCAAATCTCACCAATATAGGTTCTGCAGATTCTGTGAATACTGGGTCATGTCAGCTAAAAAAGGGGTAGGGCTATGTGTGTATTGTTTTGGGGGAAACTCAGTCCCCTCCCATTAATAAATGCATCAACACACAGATGGGCCGCATTGGTCTGGCCCCAAACGCTGAGCTGGGATAAAATGTGGTAATTGTGTGCACAGACACTGACCATCTCTGACCCAGACAAAGATCTCTTCAGTATTTTACTCTGTGCTCAAGCCAGGATCTAAAGAGCAGTGTCCTGGGAGGAGGACTGCTGTATCACCCATATTCCACGTCAAGTATTTTGATATTGCAGGAGGCGTCAGGGGAGAAGCAAGAAACCCAGCCAACTTACTGTTTTAACATCGTTGGTACCAATGATTCCTCCAATCTCGCCCAGGTCCTTAAGCAGCAAGTTCAAGATTTCTGTAGCTCTCTTCTTCTGATGGTTACTGAGCTCCTGCAACTGGCCCAGCTCCCTCTGGGTTGCTGTCAGGGTGCTCTGAAAAGTTTAAAAGCAAAAGTTACCCTCTCCTCCACAGATCAGGCATCAGCTCTTCTGTGATATCTAGGTGACACGGTATTGTCTTGTATTTTCCTGAACATACCTACTGGGCTCAACGTACCGACGTGCACAATTCCACCCTGCCATAATCCACTTGCACAACTCACTTGCTAACAAGGCTACTTTAGATGTATTAAACGTCGTAAATCCTCTAAGAATCTTATTTGCATAACACATATCAAAGAAGGTTAATCGCAGAGAAACAGGTATAGAAGGATATAAAATTCCATTTTTTTCAAATGTATTTCACAGTAGTCTGTTTTACCGAAGTGGATAACGAAGTCTTCCATGAAAACAGACCTGTTAATAACAGCTTCCTCAGTTTGTATAAGGAATTAAGGAACAAGGATGTATTAAGCTAGTAAGCCAATCTTGATTTTTCTCCAATCAGATATTTTCCTTAAGATCAGTACACATCAGCTGAAAAAGCTGGATTTTTTCCGATTCCTTCCTTGAGATCCCCTGACTCTATACAAAATCCCTGCTCCACAGCACAGAGTCCAGAGAAACACAAAATGCTGCAATTTGCATAAAGCAGGTTTTTCACATCTTTCTTGGCATAAGACAGGTTTTAAATAACCAAAACACAGAATGGCCAGTTCTCACATTCAGTTCAGTTGCCATTATGGTGCAAAATACAGAGGTTGCAACAGAGCCACAATCTGCCATCAGCTTCCATAGAGCAGTTTCTGAATTATCTTAATTTTATCATTTCATTGATATAGGAGGGAGAGGGCAGCATCAGCAAATATGGACCTTTTAACAGTTTCTCTGCTTCTCCAATTTTTAATCTACACAATAACATATTTGGCAGCAGTATTCGAAAGGTTCCTGAAACGGTACAGGTTAGCAGGTATCTGGGAACCCCTATGGAAATCTTTAGGGGAGGTGCAGCGTTAGGGGTGAGGAGGGAACCAGGATTATAAACCCTTCGTTCTTACGCTCTTCTGTGCCAGCTCGTCAGCCAGCTGCTCGTTGGCTCTTGTTTTGTCCTCCACTTCTTGGGATTTCTGGTCATAATTGACAGCTAATTCTTCCAGGGCTTGAAGGACCTCTTTCACTTCATCTTTTGCTGCTTCGTTCTCAATCTGAAGACGGGTCAGCTCCTCCTGAATCTTCTCATAATCTCTCCTCGTGGAGGCCAAAAGCTGGAAACCACATATCACAGAAGTGTTAAGCCACCCAAGAACTCATTCAAAAAACAACGTTGAAAAGGGCAAAACCAAAGAAAAACAGAAAGAAAGCATGAGCACACAAGCCTGTGTGTGAGAGAGAGAAACCAGGAGATAAGAAATCCTGCTACTCTACCAGAAACACCATCAGTTTCAGCACAAATGTATTTGAAAGAAACAAGAAAGGCTCTGAACTTCAATGAAAAGAAAAATCTTAATCAGATCCTATTATGACACAAGACCGAGGCGGAAACTTCTTTTAAAGAGTATCATAGCTCCAAATAAATTTTCTGCCCTCAACTCCAGGCTGTGACTAGGACCAAAAAAACCCACAAAGTAAAATGTTTAAACACAGAATCACAGCTTTGAGCTGAACCAGGTAAAAAGGCGCTCTGAGGCAGTCTCAAAGACCTTGTGGCATCAGAGGAATGTTTCGATAAGCAGACCTACGATGATTCTTCTTAGTTCCATCATCTATCAGCATGATGCCGAAAGACAGATTAGCTGCTCGTATTTGCTGAGGCAAAATAATAACTAAAGAAGAAAACACAGACTTCACACATACTAGTGAGTGTTTTCAGTTTGTAAAACTTATTAAATTTACTCTTTGGGTGCTACTAGTAGAGATGCTGAAGTTTCAGTGACAGTGGTGACTGTAAGGGTCAGCTGCACGGTCCTCTCCCTTGCCCTCACACCACCCCATCTTCATTCAGATAGGAAAGTCTTGAAAATTCAGCTGTTGGGTTCTCAGCACAAAACCCGACTCGACAGCAGTCATAGACTGCAGAACGATGCGTAAATAAACAAAAAGTGCCACCTAATGTTCATTGCTAATAACGTCCTTTTGCAAATAATAACAAAATCAGGCCTTACAGAGCATAAAAACATAATACAGAGAGCAATAGCATGGAAAATCTAGTGCACGAGACATGAGGTGTTCGTGCTCACAGGTCACCCTAACAGCAAGGACTGGACATTCATTCATAAAACTCAACCTAGTTCCAAGCCTTCCAATGTATGGATTAGTGCAATATTGCTCTACTGCAGCTTTCTTAGGCAGTAGAACAAAATCTGCCCTACTGAAGTGTGCTGGCTGGACTCCTCCTGACCTGCCCCACCACTGCCCACTGCTCTTCACTCCCAGGCCATGAAAAAGTTGACTGTGAGATCCCAAGCAAAACAGAAACATCTCTCTAAAATGGACCACCTAAAAGGAGAATGGCAGAGAAGACACCGCTTTTTTTTTTGGCTCAGAGTGCTAATGGAAAATAGGAAACCAACTAGGCAGCTCCAGACACTGGCACGTGCCCAAAGTGGAGAAGAGAGGATTCAGATGTAAGGGAAATTTATCTCACTGGTAATGCTGCAGTCTCAGAAGTGCACTCACGTTACGGAAAAACTCACTGAGTTGCCAAAGCCAGATGGCATGTAAATATTTAAACAACAAAATAGCTTAAAATAATCTTTCTACTAAACACAGATGGAACTATTATTTACATTTACTTAAGAAATTTTCTGTGTGAATATTACTGCGACTTCAAGAAAAGGGAAGTGTTATATATCACCTAGAGCATAAACACAGCTCCTTAGAAGATTCTTGTTGATATAATGTGGAAAAATATACTACGATTTTAAAAGGCTGTTAATAACACATTATACCCATCAGTTGTAAACAAAGGGAAGGAGACAATGGCTGCAGCACTTCACGGATCTGTTCACAGCACACAAGATGCAAAGGTGGAAGATTCAGAATCCCCCCCAAAACACACAGCCTAAGAAACAGCCAGTGGTGAAAAGGTACCAAAAGATACCAGTATCAGCACAATGCCATCTGCGGCAGGCCTTGGATTTATAATTAACCCACTAGCTTAATCAAGCAGAAAGAATTACTCTAGTTAATTAGGGGGAAGCAGAGTGAGGCAGCTGCTCTGCAGCTAATACATCACAGATAATCACAGCTCTAAGACAGAACAGGTACATCGCTCCCGCAGTGCAGGTGAGACTTACGTGTGGAAGACAAAACCTTGAAAAATTAATTCAATTCCCTTCAAGAAGAAAACAAAAATTTTGCATTAGCTTTCAAGATAAGAAGCGGACAAGGTTCTGAGGTGAACCACCTAAAACTTCCGAGCAAGTGGTGCAACATCAGCTGCAGAGATTTCAGTAAGTCAGCAAAGCTAGACTAGAGCATGGACAAAAAAAGGGGAAAAAGTGGTCTGTAAGGGAAGGATTAGAGGCCACTGAAAACTTGATTTATCTTCCAGATGTAATATAGAGTATGGGACACAAAGAGGGTGGGGAACAAGCCAGCGTACTGCATGCTCCCAAATACCTAACACAACGAAAGGAATGCACATCACCCAAAAAATAAGAAGAAAAACCCTGAGGGAAAAATAAGCTTTAGATGAGAACAATGATGTAAAAAAGATGGGAGAAGTGAGATGGTGTAAATCACATACATCAGAAAACAGTGTTGCTGGGAATCTATAAAACTCTTTTACATTTGTATAGCCACGGACACGGGTGGCACGTAACACAGAGCAATCAAAAGAAAGAGAGACGCTCCCAGGGAATCACGGCAGTGATTCGTGCAAAGAGACCAATTTTTTGGAACACTAATGATGGGTGAATTCCCACACCAGGATTATATTCTTGATCTGAAAGGTCCTCCTCCTGTTTCCCACCGTTTGAAAACCAGCATAAAACCATCTTCTAAGAAATATCAAAGCAATATTTGGGGAACTTGGTAATTTGGTGGTTTTGCCAGATTTTACATCTTCAAAACCTCTTGTAAACGAATGACAGATAAGGAAATTACTTGATTGTAAGTTTAATGATCACATTCCCCATCTTAAAACCAACAAATATTCATTTCACAGATAGAAATAATGAAATAAAAGGTTTAAAGTGAGTAACCCACGATCTTCAAGCAAATCTGTGGCAGCACCACTAATCAATTTTACAGTCTCACAAACTTCTCTCAGTATTGCCTCTAATTGCCCTTGCCACAATAATGAACATCAGTAATTTATTACCAGGAGTAATTTTTATACTGTCACACTAGGAAATCCGTAACTACCTGCAGTCCATAGTGTCTGGATACCTCAAAGGATACAGACACATTGAAAAAACACTTTGGAAGTGAAAAATACTGGCCATGCTCCTGCCTTGGTATCTCCAGCATCACTTCCCAGCAGGATGGTATGCTATTACAAGGAGTGAGCAAGGCTTAATGAGGATCTTCTGAGGATATTATGAAATCTGAAGTTTAAACCCAGCTGTCACACAGGTTTCTCTTACTTGTTGAATTTTAGCCAGTTAATGTGAACACATCTAACCAACTGCGACAGAATTACTAAATAAGGGTCTCATAAACAAAATATAAGGTTTCTTTGATTTGCTTAGTTTTTTACCTCTTCTTGATCCAACATTTGCTGCTTCAGTTTTTCAGCCAACTGGCTCTGCTGGTTGATTTCATCATCCTGCAATGAAACAGGGTTGGAGATTTTTAGTTTGTTTTCACAGTTCTCACTTGGTCGCTTTTATTTCCCCTTTCTAGAAAAGAAGGAAGAATAAAGCCATAGCAGACCTTGTGCACATTTGAGTGGTATGAAAGGAGAGAAAAATATACATAAAGGCAATGCATACACACAGTTGACTCTAGTATATACATAAGCAGATGTATCCCTGATGGTAAACAAGACACAGATGTGGTTAGAGTTGCCCTTTATAGCTCGCCCAAGACTCTGCCAACGTAGGTGATGTTTCATAGCTGTACAAATCCATACACACACTCTCTCCCTTTGCCCTGTCCTCAAATTTCAGCTGAAGATAGACAACGAGATACAGATTTACTAATCAACTGTGATTTACAGGTGGCTCTGAACTGCATTAACGAAAGAGGAAGCTCAAACCACAACGCAGAACTTGGACCCCTCAGATGTAGAATTTGTATTTTCCTACTCCATCACAAATCCTGAAGAAAATACCACCAGGCAGTGCGCAGCCAGGCATCCAGTTTTACTGGTGTTTCCACTTCCTTGCTAAGACAGCATCCTCACGGGAAGGAACTGATCTTAAGCACAGAACAGAAATGATGATGGACTCCACTGTACGAGTCCTTCATCCAAAAAGCCACAGGAGGAACACCAAGAGCAGGACCTGACCGAGGCCATCTCTTCTTGTCATGGATATCCTTCTCTAAAGGAACTCGCCAAAGACACACAATGGGTTTTGCTACTTTTGATGAGGGAGAGTGAAAGAATGACTGACGTTTTTTCTTTTTCCTATCAATAAGTAAAAGCTAGAGACTG